AGTGAAAGTGGCAGGCAAAGAATTTGGAGCTAAAATCGTTTCAAATTTTAAATACCCAATTTCGAGTTGGAAATCAGTTTTGCAATTTGTCCTGCATTCAGCCAGGATGTTTGGAAAAGATTTGAGCTAATCTTGGAGATTAAGATATTCTCATCAGGCTTTGCTTGATGGGAATATCTTAATGCAAGCTGATCTCTGTACATGTTTCTCGTTGGCATTTACATGTTCTCAAAGCGACAATTCCCAACATCTCTCTTAAGACAATAGGCGCTGTAGTTTAAATATACGAAGAACGGTTGCAGGAATTGGGTTTGGTCCATCTAGAGAAAAGAAGGACTAACGGGGACATGAGAGCAGTCTTCCAGTATTTGAGGGGCTGCCCCAAAGAAGAGGGGATCAAATTATTTTCCAAAGCCCCAAAAGGCAAGACAAGAAACAATGGATGGAAACTAATCATGGAGAGAAGCAACCTAGAATTAAGAAGAAACTTCCTAACAGTGAGGACAACTAACAAGTGGAATGAGTTTCCTTCAGACTTTTGTCAGTGCTCTAACACTGGAGGCTTTTAAGAAGAGATTGGACAGCCATTTGTATGAAATGGTATAGGGCAGTGATGGCTAACCTTTTTACCATTGTGTGCCAAGGGGGGGAGGGGGGGTCATGCACACGTGTGCCCACACCCATAATTCTATGTGCCCCACCCCCGCTTGAGCGGGGATTAGAGTAGATCCCTTCCAACTCTGTTATTCTTTTGTTCTGTCCCCGTTTCTCTTTTTGTTTTCCAAACTACAAAAAGAAAAGAAAAGAAAAGATAGGCACTGTAGTTTTAAATTCAGAGAAAATTTCCATTGTATCCTAAAAGTCAAGCTTTCTCACAACAGGAACCTCAGCTCCTCAATAGTTTCTGCTTGTTTTTTTTTTTTCTTTTTCCCTAGTCCACAAAGCTGTTTAGCTGCCTGAAATGGCGGAAAGCATGTGACACATCCTTCCTCCTCTTCGCGGCAGTCTTCATGTTCATCCATCTGGTGATTTTTCCTTCCAAGTACGTTTCAGGAATTTATGTAAAAATGGTGGGGCTTGGATGGCCCAATTGCAGTGCCATCTGGACTTTTTTTTTTTGTTGTTGACACTCTGCACACCTCACAGTTTGTCATTGCTACAAACAAATAGGATTAGTGTATATAATATAGCCCATCAAACTAAGCCAGAGGTAGGAGGTTACCTCCAAGGCAGGAAACCACCTGGGTTGTAGGAGTAGACAATGGTGCTTTTAGGAAAATAAAGGTTGGTGATTGCAGAAGGGGAAAGGGGGCTCTGAAGAATTAAACAGTTGCAAATAGCCAACAAAACATCTTTTTGGGTAGTCCCTGTTTAGCAACTGCCTCGTTGAGCAACCGTTTGCAGTTACAACGGTGATGTAAATGTCTCCTGGCCACCTGTTCTCTCACTGGTAACTTTGCAGTTCCATAAAACAAAGGAAAGCTGAAGTTGGATCATAAGCACAGGAAGAGTTTCACTTAGCAATCGCTTTGCTTAACGGCCAAGATGTAGGTCCAAATCGTGGTCTCTAAGGGAAGATGACCAGTACTAGGGTTTGAGCTCCAAGCTTGGCAGTTTGGTTGCAAACATTTTGTCACCATTCGAGGACACGTCGTCACTGCTCTTTGAATTGTCTTTAAATACTTCTTTTTTCAATGTGATGCAAAATGGTATGAATTTTGTTTGTTACTTCTGAGTCACAGTCTGATTATTGATTGGCTGTTGTTACCGAGACATGGTGTTTGGTTTAAATAGAGCCTTGGTGGCGCAGCAGACTAAAGTGCTGTTAAGTAGCACCAGCTGCCTTCAATTACTGCAAGTTCAAATCTCACCAGGCTCAAGGTTGACTCAGCCTTCCATTCTTTCGAGGTAGGTAAAATGAGGACCCAGATTGTGGGGGCAATAAGCTGACTTTGTATAAAAAAGAACACCACTTGGGGGGCGGGGGGCAAAGCCCTACTAAGCAGGTATATACACAAATATGAAGGCTATTGCTTAACGCATTGTGTTAAGTTGGGTGAATGAGGACTCAACAAGCCAGGCAGTGAGTGACAACAGCTCTTTATTGTAGGGTGAGAATCCAGCAACTGACCAGGGGAAACAGCTCCCTTTATATACCTTGCAGCTGTAGTGGTCAGCCAATCAGCTGACGGTCAGTTAATTCAAACTGCCTGCCCAAAATTTACATACATAACACTTTTCCCCTCCCAGAAGTCACTTGGGGTGGACATTAGCATACATAGTCTCTCAGGTGACTAGGGCGTGCCCACACCCTAGTTGACCTGCGCAGTTCAGTCAGAGGTGTGGTGTCGAGCAGGTCGGAGGAACTCCCTGTTTCTCCTTGCTCTGCCAATGGAACTTCCAAGAATTCGTTGTGGGCGAATTCTTCGGCTGGTCGATCTTCCGCGATTGGGCAGTGCTGGATCTCGGAGCCGACAGCTAAATCCTCCGCTCGACTCGGGCTTGAGTTAGGTCTGGAGTTCGGCTGGTAGTTAGGGAGCAGTTCGTCGAAGATGTCTTCTGTGTCGACGATTAAACGCTTCCGTAGCTGATCAATGTGCCGCCGCCAAATCCTCCCATCTCCCATGTCTACCCTATGAGACTTGGGCCCGGTGACCTCTGTGATTGTCCCGGTTTCCTAGAGGGGCCTGTTCCCGTAGTTTCTAGCGAACACTGGCGTCCCTACTGTGAACTCTCTAAGTCTTTTCTCTGCTCCTCTGAAGTTGTCAGGGGAATAAAGGGTGTAGCCTGTCTAGGACTCCCCGGAGCTTTCTTCCTATTAGAAGCTCTGCTGGGCTCCTGCCTATGGCGGTGCAAGGTGTGGCGTGTTGGGCTGTTAAGAACTTGTCTATCCGTTCTTGCCAGTCCCCGGGGCTTAGGCATGAGATGGCTTCCTTAGCTGTTCTCACAAATCTCTCCGCCAATCCATTGCTAGCCAGATGGGCGGAGAGTACGTGTCTGATCCCCACTCTGCTAGGTACCCCTCAAACTGCGTGGCCGTGAACTGGGGCCCGTTGTCTGAGACTAAGGTGTCCGGTAGGCCATGGGTGGCGACCAATTGCCTTAACTCTCTAGTGACAGTGTCAGTGGTAGTGGTTTTCATGAGTCTGATCTCCCACCACTTTGAGAAAGTGTCCACGATGACCATGAATACCTGCCCATGGAATGGGCCAGCGAAATCTATATGGATCCTGGACCAGGGACCCTGGGGCCATTCCCATTCTCTGACCGATGCTGTGGGGGGATCTGGCCTCGACTCCTGGCAGGGCTGGCACTTCCCCACCCACTCAGTGATGTCCTTATCCATTAGGGGCCACCAAACATAACTCCTAGCTAGCCTCTTCATCCTCATGATCCCAGGGTGCCCCTGTTGTGGCCCTGCCCTCTGAGCTTATCTCATTGGAGGAAGAAGGCTCCGAACATGAGGGAGAGGAGTCAGCCAGGCCTCCCTCTCCAGGCCCCTCCCCTCTGGCACTGTCTCAGGTGCCGGCCGAGGGAGAGGAGATTAGCCAGGAGCCAGGTGTCTCTGATGAGGGCGAGGAAGGAGAACCGTTGTTCCTGGATGCACGCCAACGAAGGCGTGATAAACGGTTGCAGCAGTTAAGGAGGCGTGCTAGGGATTAGAACTGAGTCACTGGACCACACCCCAGAGACTATATAAGAGAGGGTGGTGGCTGGTAAAACTCCGTGATGAACAAAAACTAACTTTGGCTAGTCACTTGAACAACATCTGAAGCTGCTGAAGGGATATTGTTTTGCTGGACTATTTGCAATGCGTATGTAATTTTGTGTTATCTGTTGCAGTAAAGCTGTTGGCAGACGGTGCTTATATTGTTGCCAAGTTTGAGATAATGACCTGTGTGCATGCCAAGTACTTTCTTAACCCTCGGCTGGCTGTGTTTGTGTGTGTGTGTAGACGGGGACAGATCAGCCCCTCATGCAACAGCTTCAACACTTTTTCCCTTAGGCACAAGGGAACAATGACCCGATCGTCCCACAATAGACAACCCCCTTGCATTGTTAGTTCGCCCTTTTTGTTAGCGAAATGTTTGAATTCCCCGCCCTCAGTCTTTTCCGGCCACCCCCTCGTGACCCAACTCGTGATTTTCCTGATCACGTTGTCTCTGGTTGAAGCCCTTGCCACCTCTGCTGAAGTGATGGGCCCCAAGTCCAAAACGTCAATTAGCAGGATGGGAACTTTGGGTGTGGGGTCCTCTATCCTGTCCGGTAACGGGCAACGGCTGAGGGCATCGGCGTTGCCCATGCTCACCCCTGGTCGATGTACCAGGCGATAGGAGTAGGCTGCCAGGAAGATGGCCCAGCATGTCATCCTGGGAGACAGGGCTGCCGGTGTGGGTCGGTCCCCTGCGATGAGACCCAGGAGGGGGCAATAGTCTGTGATGAGGTCAAAGTCTCTGCCAAATAAGTATTCGTGGAACTTCTTGACTCCTGAGACCGCGGCCAGGGCCTCCTTGTCAAGTTGACTGTAGTTCCTTTCGGTGCTTGAAAGAGTCCGGGAGTAGTAGGCGATGGGTGCCTCTAGGCTGTTTGGTAGTCTATGGCTCAGGACGGCCCCATGCCGAATGGGGACGCGTCACAGACTAGAACTAGGGGAAGCATAGAATTTACTGAATTAGAAAACTCTTGGCCGACAGGAGTTTCTTTACAACAGCAAACGCGGTAGCTTCAGCCTTCCCCCAAACCCATGCGGACTTTTTGGCCAACAGTCTGTGCAGGGGCTCTGCTACTGTTGTCTTGTCCTTTAGAAAGATTGCGTAAAAATTCAATAGTCCCAGGAACGCCTGTAGTTCCACCTTGTCTTTGGGGATGGGGCCCTCTTGGATCACCCTAATCTTGCTCTCGGTGGGGTGTATGCCGGTTCCGTCTACCCGATACCCCAAGAATTCCATAGAAGGGACTGCGATCATGCACTTGTTGAATTTGACCCTGAGTCCTGCACTTCTGAACTTCCCTAGGACTTGCCTCAGTCTCTCTCCCAGTTGCTGTTCGTCTTCTGTGGTGACGAGCACATCATCAAAATACGGGACCACCCCGGGGATCCCCTGTAACAGTCGCTCCATGGTGCTCTGGAACAGTCCTGGAGCTATGCTGACTCCAAATTGGAGTCTGGTACACTTGAAGGCACCTCTATGTGTTACTATAGTCTGTCCCTCTGCGGTAGCGCAATCTACCGGCAACTGCTGGTATGCCTGCGCAAGATCAAGTTTAGCGAAGACCTTGCCTGGCCCTAGGGAATGCAGCAGATGGTGTACGATCGGAACCGGGTAAGCGCTCTGTTGCAGGGCCTTATTGATTGTACACTTATAGTCTGCACAGATGCGCACAGACCCGTCCGGCTTAACGGGGGTCACAATTGGGGTCTCCCATCGGGCATGATCGACTGGCACTAACACCCCCTGCTTGATTAATTTGTCCAGTTCCACATCGATCTTGGGCTTTAAGGCGAAAGGTACCCTCCTGTGTTTCAGTTGGATGGGGGCAATATTGGGGTCGAGGTTGAATGAAATAGGGGTCTCCACATACTTGCCAAGCCGCTCGTCAAACACGTCCTGAAACTCTTGCATCAGGTCGTCCTTCAGGGTACTTCGCACGTTGCGGACTCCGGTGAATCCCATGCCCAGGGCTCTGAACCAGTCCATGCCCAGGAGGCTTGGGAGCTTTCCGCTGACCATGGTGAGGGGAAGCTTCTCCCAGAATTCCCCATACTCCACCTGGAACTTGCTGATTCCTTCCACGGGGATGCAGTTCCCCTGGTAATCGCGCAGTCCCAGCCGCTGGTGCCGTAGTTGCCGTCTCTGGATGCTGGGGATGGCCTTCTTTAGCTTGTCCAAGACATGATGGTAATTGGGGATCCAGTGTCGATCTCCATTGCGCACTCATGCCCCTCGATGTCGACCGTCGTGTAGATCTTCTCCCTGGGGGATGTGCAGGTCCGGCCGATTCGAATGGTGCAGGCCTTGAGATCTTCGGATTTCGCGCTCCTCCTGTAGCCGCCCTTCGGATTGGTCTCGTTCGCTGCGCCGTCTCTGATTGGCTAGCGTTCCTCTGTGGCTTGTAATGGGGGTTCTGCTTGGCTCTGCAGACTCTAGCGATATGCCCCTTCCGCTCACATTGCCGGAAAATGGTGTCTCAGAACTTGCAGGTCTGGCACCGATGGGGTCCCCCACAACTGGCACAGGCATCTCGATGGCCTCGCCGGTCCTGCCGGTCCTGTTTGGTCCGGCAGACCTCCTCGTCCAACTCTTCCTCGCTCCCCGTGCCTACGGTTTCCTGGTGAACCGGGGCTGACTTCTGTGCTGTTCTGCTCTGCGCCGTCCCCTGTAGTCTCTCGGCTGCCTTGGAGGAGGATTCTTGAGCCCTCGCCTTGTCCAGTGCGATGTGTAGTGTGAGATTTGTCTTTGCGAGCAACCTTCTCTGCAAGCAAATATCTCTCACTCTGCAGATTAGTTGCTCTAGCAGCATCTCATCAAAGTCTCGGTACTCGCACTGGTTTGCAGCCTTGAGCAGGGCAGTGACGTACTCACTGATCGATTCTCCCTCGTGTTGCAGCCGTTGCCAGAAGTCGAACTGCTGCACGTACTTCGATGGTGTTGGGGCATAGTGGTCCTTCAGCAGCGTCTGAAGCGTTTGCCACGAGATGGTGTGGACCGAGTTCGGTTCCGACAGGGCCTCGGCCATATCGAACACCTTGGGTCCACAATGGCTCAGGAACAGGGCTTTCTTCCGACCAGGAAGCATTCGAAGCGGGACATGTAGGATCCCCACTTCTCTTCCATGGGGTTTGAAAGTCGCTGGTGGTACATAGGCAGACATCGTTGGTAGATTCTCCAAGTACTCCGCTTGTTCGCCTGGCTGAATTCGGGTCTGCAGCTCTCTCATCGGCTCGTGGTTTCAGCTCTTTCCGTGTCTTCTGGCCTCAAAATCCCACCTTCGTCGCCAATGTTAAGTTGGGTGAATGAGGACTCAGCAAGCCAGGCAGTGAGTGACAACAGCTCTTTATTGTAGGGTGAGAATCCAGCAACTGACCAGGGGAAACAGCTCCCTTTATATACCTTCCAGCTGTGGTGGTCAGCCAATCAGCTGACGGTCAGTTAATTCAAACTGCCCGCCCAAAATCTACATACATAACACATTGTAAGCCACCCTGAGTCTTTGGTGAAGGGCGGCATATAAATCGAACCAATAAATAAAATAAATAAATAAATAAATAGTGTGTTGTAAATTAATGTTGTTTGTTCAGATGCTTCTGAGTCATGGTCTTGTTTTGGACTGTTTGATTGGCTGGTAGTTGTTGAGATGTGGTCTGATTTCTTATGAGCTGATGAGTTACGATTTTGTTGTGATGGTGCGGTGGATCTCCGTTCGTTCGATTTAAATGCTATCTTTAGGATCACGGTTGATATAGTCCTTTCGTTCTCAGTGATTGATAGACCTGATCGAGGTCAATATGTCTGTTTATTGCAAATAAACAAAATTTAACAAACAACATCCACGCTCATTTGCATCACATTTTTTAATAAGGGGTATTTAAAGACCAGTGTTCTAACAGAGGAGCACAATTCAAAGCACACAGACAACATCTCCTCGAATGGTGACAAAATGTTTGCAACCAAAATTGCCACACTCGGAGCTCAAACCAACTACCAATCTGTGCTACTAATATTCAAACACATGTCAATGACTGGTACTAGTTTGGTGTGAATGGGTAGATATGGCTAATGAATTATCTGAAGCTATAAACTGCAGGCAAGTGGTGCTTTCTTCTAAGACCTCCTTGTTCCCTAGCTAGATGGAGAAAAAGGAACATTTCTCTGGGCTCACATGATTTTAACCCGGGGTACAAAACAGGTCCCTGCTGCATGTAATTTGGTGGGGGGGGGGGAAATCTAGTCCAGTTCCAAGCTGGGAGAAAGATGCTGGAAATAAAATGGAGGTTGATTGGAAAGAAGGATTCTGTTTATTGGAAACAGAACCACAGCATGCAGTTCTGGGACAGCTGACCAATTAGCTTGATGAGTGCAAGGATTTTTATACAGTTTACAGTATTTTGTAATGTTGAGGTTTGCTTTGTGTGCTTTTATTATTTGATAGGTTTTACTTGTTTCTCAAAGGCTCGTGAAGGTCTTAATTATTGGCTTCCTTGGTCCTAATCCTGTCAGGCATCTGTAATTGATTTTTTTTGTTTCAAGTTTTTTATTTTGTTTTCCATATACATATTAATATGTGAACAGTGTGGCACCTGGATGTCATACATCTTAATACAAATAAAACCAGTAAAATTAATTGTAGTTATTACATTCAGCCAACTTATATATTTCTAATAATAATACACATTTATATTGAGTTAAAATCTATCATTATTTAATGATAGATGTTTTAATATATTGTTTTAATATATTGCTCTAATGCCACTCACCATATTATTTGATCATACATAATAATACTGCCATTCAATTTCTAAGCTTCTCTGTTGTTATTGCTTTTACTTTTTATATAAAAAAGTATACATTAATATTCCCCCTTTCTCTTATTTCTATCTCTACTCTAACTTTTAATCATGTCACCCTTTTATTAAAAGACTTTTTTTTGTATCCTACCTAACTTAGCTATTGAAATTTGATATTGTAAAATTTTAATGTCATCTATCATATATTTTTAGAGTGCTATTTTTGTAACTGTTTTATCTTTTTCCCTTTTTCTTTTCTGTTTTGTTTGAAAAGGCCTTCGGGCTATTCAATAAACTATACTATACTATACTAATCATGCCACCATTCTAAAAAAGAAGGGAAAGAAAGAGAAGAAGAAAAGCAAATCAGAACAACAACAAAAAAGAGAAATCCTTTCCTTTCTATTGCTCTCTTGCTCGCTTCAATACTTCAATACTTTAGTAGCTATGCTTTTTTTTTTTTAACTTGCCTCCCATATTCCTCTCTTGGATCTTTATCTCTGTTTTCATCTACTTGTTAACTATTCAATCTAAGTACTGGTATTTCTCCCATCTCTACCCTCTTCCACTACCTAGCTTCCAAAATATCTGCCCGAACCCTTATCTCCCTTTTCAAAGGTATCTTTCTGTATCTCCAATTGTCTTTTCAACTCTCTTAAAATATTTCCCTCCGGTTTAATTAATCAATCACTGTTGTTTTTATTATTATCTCCACCTTATCTCCTTCTTTTGTTCGCTGGTACTTCGGTTCAGCCTTTTCCTCCATTTCTTCTATTAACGCCTCCCTTTTCTGAGCATCTTGATCTTTACTCATCATCCCTCGTATAGTATTTTCCATTTTTTTCCATAGTCTCCTTAAATCCTTTCTCCATAATGTCCTTTGTGCTTTGGAAAATCAATGCCATCTCTTTCAAAGTTCCACTCATTTCTTCCTTGTGAAGCATCTTATTTTGTTTTTAAAAATCCAACTTTTGTCCAATAGTCCAAGAACCATTTATCCAGACCTAAAGTTGCCCTTCAAGAAGTACACTCATCACAGTTCTTTATATCCCATAGGTAATCAATCAGTTCCATTTAAATAGTCTCAGGAGTTGTCAAAAGCCTTTTTACATCCCCTTTACAGATTCAATCTTCTAACACAACATTCAGGGGTCACTTTAATTAAATAATTTCCTTGTTCTCATAGTTGAGTCTCCAATGGTCACGAGGTAGTTAGATATAACCCATTAAATATTTTCACAACCCTTCATATAAGTATTCCCAGACTTGTATATTTTCCTTCTGTCAGCAGGTGACATTCCCAACTTAAATTTCAGTGTTGCCACTAGTCAATCTAATTTTAGTCTTTCAATCATAATTTTAATTATAGTTCAATTATAGAAGCAGACAAAGGCAGGGCAAGCAATGGGTAGAAACTAATCAAGGAGAGAAGCAACCTAGAACTAAGGGGAAATTTCCTGACAGTGAGGACAATTAATCAGTGGAACAACTTGTCTCCAGAAGTTGTGAATGCTCCAATACCGGAAGTTTTTAAGAAGAGATTTGACAACCTTTGTCTGAAATAGTATAGGGTTTCCTGCCTGAGCAGAGGATTGGACTAGAAGACTTCCAAAGTCTCTTCCAACTCTATTATTATAATTCTAAAGTTCATCCATTCTCCTTCTTGATACCCTAATAGTAATCCTGAATTCCTAACCTGATTGATTATCCAAGTCTTAAAAAGCACTAATCAAAGTAACCCTTTTTTCCCCTTCTTTTTTTGTACCTCCTGTCCCTCCCCAAGAATTCTCCATAACACACAGTACTATTTCATGGAGTTCTACCAGCCTTTCTTTGGCTACTACTTCTTCAACGCCCTCCTGATGGTCCTTCAGCTCCTCTACATCTCCTGGTCTTACCTGATCTGCATCATGATTTATAAATTCCTGATCCATGGCACGGTAAGGCATCCTTGGGGAGGTTGGAGCTGAAGACCAATCTTGGAATATTGCATCCAGATTTGGTCGCCACAATGTAAAAAAGATGTTGAGTTTCTAGAAAGGGTGCAGAGAAGAGCAACAAAGAGGATTAGGGGGATGGAGGCTAAAACATATGAAGAATGGTTGCTGGAATTGGGTATTTCTAGTTTAATGAAAAGAAGGACTAGTGGAGACATGATAGCAGTCTTCCAATATCTAAGGTGTTGCCACAAAGAAGAGGGAGTCAAACTATTCTTCAAAGCCCCTGAGGGTAGAACAAGAAGCAATGGGTGGAAACTAATCAAGGAGAGAAGCAACTTAGAACTAAGGAGAAATTTCCTGACAGTTAGAACAATTAATCTAGAAGTTGTAAATGCTCCAACACTGGAAATTTTTAAGAAAATGTTGGATAATCATTTGTCTGAAGTGGTGTATGGTTTCCTGCCTGGGCAGGGGGTTGGACTAGAAGACCTCCAAGGTCCCTTCCAACTCTATTATCCTATATTCTATCTTTTGGGGGATGGAGTGGGGGAACCACAATTCGCTTTCCTTTAATCCTTCTCCATTTTCAGTTTTTCTCCGTGGGGAGACTGATGCGAAATTCTTTGTTTATACTCGCTCTGCCCTCCTCCTTGGTCCACTTATTTTCTCCCAGTTTGAATTTCAAATGGTAAACTGGGCAGAGATTTGCTCTGTTCCCTTCTGCAAAAATGGCCTCTGTCCAGATTTTGGTCATGCACTCAATGAAGAGGGGTGATGGGAGGGGGAATTCAGTGGGGCAGAGAGAGATCTGCTTGATTCCATTGCTTTCAGTACATCCATTCGGAATCCTCGTGCAACGACCGTGTGCCACGTACCTTGGGTTGCCCAAAGATGGCATCTTCTGTCCTCCTGGCCAGGACAGGCAACCTGTTGGTTTGAGGTTTTAAAGACCCAAAAAAGCACCCTCCCATCCTCCCACTCCTCTTTGGACTGTGGGAAAACAACAGGATCTGTTTCAGACAAACAGCTGTCCAGGTCTCGTCTTAAAAACCTCCAGTAATGGAGCACCCACAACTTCTGGAGGCAAGTAGTTCCACTGGTTGATCGTTCTCACTGTTAGGAAGTTTCTCCTTAGTTCCAGGTTGCTTCTCTCCTTCATTAGTTTCCACCCATTGCTTCTTGTCCTGCCTTCTGGTGCTGAATCTCTCTTCTTTGGGACAACCCCTTTGATATTGGATGGGAGTATCTGTTGGAGGTGGAAAGCAGGACAAAGGGGACCCCGAGGGGTGGGAAGCAGTGGTGACTCAGGGGATGGGAGAGGCCTTGGAATTACAATGGAGGCACCACATGTTCCGCTTAACGAACCACTTCATGTCACTAAAAGGTGAACTCCATTCTGCAGCATCTCTTCCAATCGTAGACCCTTCTTCCAATTTGTTACGGAGGGCCACCCACCTTACTTTTCAACCTATAAAATGGATCCCAATGTGTACAATCCTGATCCAGCAAAATTCTCAGATCCAGAGTCTTTAGGAGAAGGGAGATGATCCTGGTGGAGGGTTTGAGGGTTGGGAGAGATGTCACCATGGGTAACATGGATATCTTAGCCTTGCAGGTGGGCAAAGCTACCCATGACCCCTTAAAACTTGTGAAATCCCTCCCTCCAAACAGCTCTGGGCTCACCTATGTGTAGTCATTCAGTTGTATAAAAGTTGTGCATTTCCAATGGAAAAGGCTGATTGTGTCACACACACACACACAAATATTCCTTCCTCTCCCACCCTCCTGTGGACTCCAGCCGGCAGAACCGAAGCCACATCTCTCTTTCTTTCTTGCAGATGGGAAAGGATGTGCGGAAAGGCTCAGAGGGCAGTGAGGAGGAAGATGAGATGGGCAAGATGACAGAGCAGAAAAACAGCACCGTTGATGGCCAGACCACCTGCCAGCTTCCGGGCTGAAGCTATGTTGGCCTGATCTTTCCTCTTCACACTGGGTAAACCGGGCTGAAGCTACATTGGCCTGATCTTTCCTCTTCGCACTGGGTAGACTGGGCTGAAGCTACGTTGGCCCAATCTTTCCTCTTCGCACTGGGTAGAACGGGCTGAAACTACGTTGGCCCGATCTTTCCTCTTCGCACTGGATAGACCGGGCTGAAACTACGTTGGCCCGATCTTTCCTCTTCGCACTGGATAGACTGGGCTGAAGCTACGTTGGCCCGATCTTTCCTCTTCACACTGCTACTTTGGCCCGATCTTTCCTCTTCGCACTGGGTAGACCGGGCTGAATCTATGTTGGCCCGATCTTTTCTCTTTGCACTGGGTAGACTGGGCTGAAAGTACATTGACCCGATCTTTCCTCTTTGCACTGGGTAGACCAGGATGACCCCATGGCCAGATCTGACCACATCATGGGCCTTGAGTTTGATACCCCTGCCCTAGAACATAGAATAATAGAGTTGGAAGGGAGACCCTATATCATTCCAGAGAAATGGCTGACCAGTCTCTTCCAGGGATGAAGCACCCACAATTTTTGAAGGCAAGCCGTTCCACAGATGAAATGTTCTCACCATTAGGAAATTTCTCCTTAGTTCTAGGTTATTTTTCTCCTTGGTTAGTTTCCAGCCATTGTTTCCTGTTTTGCCTTTTAGTGCTTTGGAGAATAGTTTGACTCCCCTGATCTTTTCTTTGGGATGGCAATTTGCCAACAAAGCCGTAGTCTGCAGATACCATTCTAGATCATTGAACCTTCAGCCACCTCTACGAGTCCCCCAGAACAAGTTCTCCTTCTGCAGGGAAGAGTTCTCCATTTTAAAGGGAGAAGATGATCCAGGTAAGGAAGGAGTGGCCAGGATGTTTAGAGCACTCTCTGATCTGGCCACCAGGGGGCAGGCTGCTGTCTCTAACTAGCCTAGGATGACATGGGTGCCTTGTGCCCCAAAGCACATTTTTAAATATCCATTTTGGTTTGCTTTTAAGCCAACAGTGTGACGCCCATCTCTGAAGCACAATCCACGTAGCAGCCTAAATCTGGAGGTTCTGACTGGTTCTTGCTAAAACCATGAGATGGCCAGGATTGTAGTATTTCTTTGATTATTTTATTTTTATTACTATAGAATAGAATGGAATGGAATAGGAATAGGAATAGGAATAGGAATAGTGAATAGAATAGTGAATGGAATGGGAATGAGAAAGAGAAGAGAGAAGAGAAGAGAAGAGAAGAGAAGAGAAGAGAAGAGAAGAGAAGAGAAGAGAGAAGAGAAGAATATAGAATATAGAATATAGAATATAGAATATAGAATATAGAATATAGAATATGGAGTGAAATAGAGAGTAGAGTGGAGTGGAGTGGAGTGTCAGGCCTGGAAGCCATCTTTTTCATTGGATCTTCAGGCCTGCCACATTTACTACCGTGGGAAACTGGGGGGGGGGATTTTATGGAGCAAGGGTGATATATAGTATTAATAACATTTCTTTCTCAGAGAGTCAAGGACATCTTGCCCTGCACCTGGACAGCTGGAACTGGGAGGCATCTCCAGTTAGGACGGTGCTTTGATTGGACCATGTGATGGACATGTGGGTGTTTTCAGATTTGGGTTTTCCCAGATGTGCCAATATGACATCTCTAATAAAATGGAACTTTGAGGAAACTCAGGCCTTGGAGCCTTCTTTCGTTAGAGGTGTTACTTGGAAACCTGACTAGAATAGAATAGAACAGAAGAGAAGAGAAAACAGAAAAGAGAAGAGGAGCGGAGAGGAGAGGAGAGAGGAGAGAATATGGAGTGTAGAGTAGAGTAGAGTAGGATAGGATAGGATAGGACAGGACAGGACAGGACAGGACAGGACAGGACAGGACAGGACAGGGACAGGACAGGACAGGGACAGGACAGGGACAGGACAGGGACAGGACAGGGACAGGACAGGACAGGACAGGACTGGATCTATGGACTCAAGGCTGGTGGGAGTCGGTGTATGGCTGCCTTCACCCCCGGGTTTCCATCAAAGTTTTACTGGTCGGCCTTTTTGAGAGGACAGTTGGCCAAGAAATTTCCGGGGGTCGGATGGCATATATCTCCCCCTCCACTGCTGTGAGAGGGCAATGGAGTCCGGTTACCTGTGCCATGGACTGGAACTTTTTCCCCTGTACTATAACATCATGGTGGTCCCCCAACCATGGACTATTTTCACCCCTAACGATTGATGTATTCAGTGTCTGAACTCCTTGCCCTGCGAGATTCCCCCCTCTCGCAGGTTTGGCCCTCTACTCTATCGAGGGCCTATCTCGATGACAGATTTTGGAATCCTGAGAGATGGCATGGCGCGAGGAAGGGCTTGTGGGGTTTTTTGGGAAAGTGTTTTAATAAGATTTTAAAGGGTTTGGGGAGGGGGTCTTTTAACAATCTTTTAAGGGGAACTGGGAGGACGACCAAAGGGGATGGGGGGGGGGGAAATCCACTAAGGTCAGAGCCAAGCCCAGCATGGGATAACTGTTTGGAGGGTGCAGGACGAGGGATTGGGGAGGGGATGGAGGGCTATACCAATGAGGGGTGTACCATTAGCACGGTGGATGGGAGGGGCAGATATGGCAGGAGCAGGAGACCATATCACGTGTCGGGGGTGTGCACTTGCTGTTTGAGAGCTATTGCGTGCCCTGGTCTCCAAGGCTCCTCTCGGATACTAGGTGGCTCAGATACTCAGGACCTGGGCCTTCGGCTGATGCTGTGCAATGCCAGGTCCATGGTAAATAAGCCCCCCCCTCATCCACGATCTTATACAGGAGGGGGGAGCGGAACTGGCGGGTATTACGGAGACCTGGTTGGGCCCGGAGGGAGGGGTCCCTCTGGTTGAGATGTGCCCACCAGGCTTCAGAGCATTCCATCAGCCGAGGGCCCAGGGGAGGGACAGGGTGGTGGTGGTTATTATTAACAAAGGTCTTGGTCTGAGGGAGACCACTGTGCCACAGATTGCTGGATGTGAATCCCTCTTTGTGAGATGGGGTCATGGGGTTCAGATGGGCTTATTGCTTGCGTACCTGGCTCCCTGCTGTGCGGCAATGGCCCTGCCTGAGCTCCTCGACGTGATAGCATGGTGGCAGTTGATACACCCAGGCTTTATGGTCATGGGTGATTTCAACTTGCCGTCCATTGGTGAAACATCTGAGACGGCTCAGGAGTTCATGGCTTCCATGACGGCCATGGACCTGACCCAGCTAGTTCATGGCCCCACCCACAGGGGGGGACACACTCTGGACTTGATTTTTGTCTCTGGCCAGTGGTTGAGTGGTCTTGTTATAGGGGATATAGACATGGAAACCTTGTCATGGTTAGATCACTCGCTCCTTCGCCTGGACCTTCGAACCGCTACACCCCACCGCAGGGAGGCGGAGCCAATAAGATGGGTCTGCCCCAGGCACCTGATGGATCCTGATAGGTTCCAGATGGAGCTTGGGTCACTTCCTGAGGATCTGGCACATGACTCGGCCGAGGACCTGGTGGCTGCCTGGGATCGGGCAGCTGGTGGGGCCTTGGATCGAGTCGTGCCTCTACAGCCTCTAACCCGGTGCCGATCCCTTGTGGCTCCTTGGTTTACCGAGGAGCTGAGGGAGATGAAGCACCAGAAAAGACGCCTGGAGAGCAGTTGGAGGGCCAGTCTCGCTGAATCTGACTGAACACTGGTAAGGTCGCATATTAAGACCTACCTAGTGGCGATAAAAGCGGCAAAGTTAAATTACTTTTCCACTCTTATTGCATCATCAGAGAATCATCTGGCTGCCCTGTTCAGGGTGACCCACTCCCTGCTCCATCCGGGAGTGCGGGAGGACCCCCTGGAGGGCAGGGCTGAGGATTTCGGACAATACCTGTATGACAAAATCACTCAGATCTGGGGGGATTTGGACTCTGACTGGGTAGATTCGGGCAGGGTGACAAAAAACAGTCTTGAGAATGTTATCTGGGAAGAGTTTGACTCTGTGACTCCGGATGACGTGGACAGGATTTTGGGGAGACTTAGTGCGGCCACATGTTTACTGGACCCGTGTCCCTCCTGGTTAGTACTGGCTTCCCAGGAGGTTACACGAGGCTGGCTCCAGGGAATTATTAACGCTTCGTTGAGTGAGGGTTACTTCCCCACTGCCTTGAAAGAGGCGGTGGTGAGGCCTCTCCTCAAGAAGCCCTCCCTGGACCCGGCAGTATTGGCCAACTACCATCCTGTCTCCAACCTTCGCTTCGTGGCGAAAGTTGTTGAGAGTGTGGTCACGCGACAGTTTCCATAATTCCTGGAGGAAACGTCTTATCTAGATCCATTCCAGTCGGGTTTCAGGCCTGGGCACAGCACGGAAATGGCATTGGTCGCATTGGTAGATGATCTCTGGAGGGCTCGGGACAGGGGTTGCTCCTCTGTTCTAGCCCTGTTAGACCTCTCAGCGGCTTTTGATACCATCAACCATGGTATCATGCTGCACCGGTTGGAAGAGTTGGGGATGGGGGGCACCGTGTTATGGTGGTTCTCCTTTCTCTCTGACCAGTCGCAGTTTGTGTTGGCAGGGGGGCAGAGGTCGACCTCAAGGCCTCTCATTTGTGGAGTGCCTCAGGGGTCGGTCCTCTTGCCCCTTTTGTTCAACATTTATGTGAAGCCGCTGGGTGAGATCATCCGTGGCTTTGGGGTGAAGTACCACCAGTACGCTGATGACACCCAGCTGTACATCTCCACCCCAGGCCACCCCAACGATGCCCTTGAAGTGATGTCTCAGTGCCTGGAGGCTGTGCAGATCTGGATGGGGAGGAACAGGCTCAAGCTCAACCCTTCCAAGACTGAGTGGCTGTGGTTCCCGGCATCCCAATATAGTCAGCTGACTCCATCGCTGACTATTGGGGGCGAGTCTTTGGCCCCCTCGGAGAGGGCGCGCAATCTGGGAGTCCTCCTGGATACGCAGCTGTCCTTGGAGGAACATCTGACGGCTGTAGCCAGGGGAACCTTTTGTCAGATTCGCCTGATTCGCCAGTTGCGACCCTTTCTTGATCAGGATTCCCTGTGCACAGTCACTCATGCCCTCGTCACCT